ATTCATGGGAAAATTCCATGAATGAGTTACTTTATTTATTACCTCTTAACTCACAGGAGCTACTGATGTAATGTCTGATGGATAAAAACATTTAAAATGCTAAATACAAATTAAAAACAATTAAAAACAGCCAGCGTAATTATGGATCAAAGCACAGTTAACACAGTTTTATGGAATCACGGAATCATAGAATCATAGAGTTGGAAGAGGCCATAAGGGCAATCCAGTCCAACTCCCTGCCATGCAGGAACTCAAATTCAAAGCATCCCTGACAGATGGCCATCCAGCCTCTGTTTAAAGACCGCCAAAGAAGGAGACTCCACCACGCTCCAAGGAAGTGTGTTCTAGAAGAGCTCCTACTGTCAGGAAGTTCCTCCTAATGCTGAGATGGAATCTCTTTTCCTGTAGCCTGCATCCACTGCTCCGAGTCCTGTTCTCTGGAGCAGCAGAAAACAAGCTAGCTCCTTCATCAATATGACATCTCTTCAGATATTTAAACAGGGCTATCATATTACCTCTTAACCATCTTTTCTCCAGGCTAAACATACCCAGTTCCCTAAGTCGTTCCTCATAGGACACGGTTTCCAGACCCTTCACCATTTTAGTCGCTCTCCTCTGGACATGCTCCAGTTTTTCAATATCCTTTTTGAATTATGGTGCCCACTATTTCCCAAAGTTTGTTGAAATCAGCTCTCCTAAAGTCTAGAGTGCATGTCTGACTATGCCTGGCTTCTTTCCACTGTATAAGAAACTCCAGGCGAACGTGTCATCCCTGTTGGTTAGGATCAGATCTAAAATAGCTGATCCCCTTGTTGGTTCTTCCACCTTTTGGACAATGAAATTGTGAGGCAAGTGAGGAATTTGCTAGACCTTGAAGTATTGGCTGAGTTTGACTTTCAGCAAATATCAGGATAGTTGAAGTCATCCATCACTACTACATCTCTCCTTTCATCATCAGTTCTAGAAAGGCATCATCCAATTCCTCAGGCTGACTTGGGGGTCTGTAGTAGACTCCCACTATAACATCCCTGTTGTTTCCTTCCCCTTTAATTTTTATCCAGATGTTCTCTATCTAGGAGCTTATTGCACACTGAAAGAGGCATCTTACCTCTTCCGGATTCAATCTTCGATCTGGGATACATTTGGATGTTATCACACATAATTCACCACTGATTCTGCCGTGATGCCACCAGCTGCATCCAGCCCTGATCCAACAAGTGCTCAGCTGGCCAATTTTTAAAGTTGGAAAACTTCCGTTTTTGAAAAAGTGCTGACTAAGCATGGCTTCAACCTGGGCTGGATGTGGCTAATGGCATCACAGCAGAATCGTTGGCAAATTATGTGTGATAACATCTGGGTGTATCTCGGATCAAGGACTGAATTTGGAAGAGGTAAGATACCTCTTTCAGGTGTGCGATAAGCTCCTTAGTTACCCACTGGAAATTCAGAAGGAACAAAATCAGACTGACTGCCCTTGGAAGGAACTTCCACAGTTGGAGTGCTTCTGCCGAAAAACAACAACTTGTAATGTCTACTTAAATTCACAGGGTGTTGGGATGTGCAACTGTAGTGAGCCACTCTGTTGCTCTGTTTTTTGCTGGCCAAAGTGATGGTGATCTGTGAAAGAGGGAATGGTCAAAAGATCCTCAACAGAGGTCTGTTGCACATCCCAACTACAGTGGGATGAGGGGCTCTTAGCATGGATGTTAAATTCCCTCAACACAATAAGTTTGGGGGAGATAAAGACTGCTTCTCCTAGATCAGTTAGGAAGATAACTGGATGGTTGGTGAGACATCAACATAATCCCAATCCTATCTTGTTGCCCTATTAGTAGGATAATAGGTAGTGATTGCAGTTTATCAGGAAAGAAGATTTTCTGGTTATTTTTTATGGCACACCATTAGTTTTGTGGGAGAATTACAACTTTACATAGGAGGCAATGGAGAAATCTAGAATGTGCTTGTTGAAAAAAATTTGGGGCAATAGAGTGTTCTCCCATGGGAAAAGTAAAGAAAGATGTTCACATTCATTCAGAGACATATCTGGTATGGGAAAGTTTTTTTTAAAATTGTGGTGCAAATATTTCCTATGCTAGGAGAGAAGAAACCATCCAAGTATAATGTTGCATAAGACAGATGGAGACAAGACTAAGCTATTATATTCATATTGAGAGGGGCTAATGTGGAGAGGCAGACAGTGGTTTACAGTAACCCTGCAAAGTAGTCCAGTTTTATTATCACCATACTGTAAATTGTGTGGATGTCCAAGGTTATGGTTTACAGCAACACAGCAATTAATTGGTGTGTCACCATTAAAAACCACGTATTACAGATTGGGAAAAAAGGATAAAAGATAGGCTATTGTAAACTGATCTTTTGTTAAAATCCCCATATTGAAAAATGATTTGGGGCTAGATCAGCAAAAGCCCTGCATGACTTTTAGTACTTAGAAGGGATGAGACTGGCAGTGGCATCTAAACATTCTATAAAGAATATTTCTTTGCAAGTAGTCATATATTTAATCTTTAATGGTGAAATAAATAGAACATTGCCGATACAGATTTGTACCAGTGTTACACACCATATTTAATTATTTATTACTCACATTATCAAGATATAGGAAGATAATGGAAAATTACATAACAAATATGGATATTAACAACTACAAAAAAGGGTCTTGTGGAATCTAATCAACAATTTACTATGGCATAAGTATCTTTTTCAGAATAGTCAAATCTTTCTCTGTCTCTTTCTGTCTCATACACATATACACACATGGAGGTACAGAGAAAAAAAAATATGCGAAGACCATGGCATACAAGAAGTAATACTTGACAGACCTAGGCAAAGCTCAAATATATACAAAATAATCATATGATATTTCATAGGCGCAGTAATGTAAAAATAACACAATATTGCTGGGCTTGTTATGCACATTTAACACTTGTACATTGAGAGAAAATCTTGATTTTGATTGGATCATAAACAGAAAGAAGCAAACTAACCAATATTATTACTGCAGTTATTTCACAGTGAAATCTCTCTTTGACCATACTCCTGATTGGAGGAAAAATGTGATTTTTGTTTGCAGTGGAGTGTTTCTGAACAGTGAAATTCTTAATGTGAGAGTTAGATATATTGATGCCTTGGCATGGAAACAGGCCTCTTTGTACACAGCAGAAGACCATTGCTAGCTGGTGAAGGAATAGATGGGGCTAGTTGAAGAGAGAGTTGGCATCTGGATAGGTTGTAGAACCCAAGTCCTCATTTTATATCTCCACCAAATCACTGCTATATATTATATTATAACATTGATATTGAGTAGCTGTTTTAGAGTGAGGGCTGCCTAGATGCCTAAATCACCAGAACTTGTCACATAATCATGTTGCAAAAAGATAGAAAATAAAATATCTCCCACATCCCTGAGATGTAGCAAAGATAAATCTAGTTAAGGTGCCATGTCAATTGTGGCACCCTCAACTCAAAGCCAGTGCTCCATTTATAGTGTTTATTTGCACAGACAAATTGTGATTTTACCTCATAACTGTAAAATGGGGATTTCAGATAAAATGAGAAGACTCTGTGAACATTTGTGTTAATCTTTCTGTCTCCATGATTAAAGTAACCTTCTTTCTACCTACAGCCAAATCCTCCTGTATGTGCTTACTTGGAATTAAGTACCACTGTACCACTGTATTCATTGCGATTTACTCCCAAGTAAGAGTGGTTAAGATTGCAGAGTTTATAAGCTAATTATTTGTTCGCTGTGCTACAACAGGCAATGAAGAATTTCTTTTCTGTCTGGACCCCTCTTGGACTAGCTTGGCATCAGGGCTTGGTGTCCAGGTGTTAGTGTGTCTGTAGTGCCATATGGAAAGTCTGCATTTGAAACTCTCATCTGCCCTATCTCCAGGGTGCAACAAACTAAGAATCTTGTAAAAACGTTGCAAAGATTAGTGTGTTTTTGTGGGGAATTTTACTCCCAGCTTTAATCGTTCCTTTTGCAAGGCTATTAATTTTTGCAAGACAGTTAGCAAATATTATTTAATACTGAGCAGTTGATACCTATTACAGTAATATGAATTGTTAGAGTGACTATTAACTCAGGAACTACAGGGATTAACAACTGCTGGATCAGTACTGTATAAAACGTCTCCTTAGCCCACAAAGCTAAAATGCCGCAGACAAAACTTTTGCGGTCTTAAAGCAATTATGGACAAACAGGCACTTCTAGATGAGGCTTCTATTATGTGATCATCTGCTTTCACTTATCAAATTTTCTGGCATGTATGGTGTGGTGATAATGTCTTCCAGTTGTAATGCACATGTTCTCCCACTGCTTCTTCCATATTTTTCTTTCCACAAAATATCTGCTAAAGAGGGAAAAATGCAGGGTGGGTGTAAGTTCCACTGAATTTAGTGAAAATTATTTATAAGTAGACATATATAGGATTGCTTTGTGCCTATAGATTCCACTGCCAGGTTTTTACAGTGCAATCATATACATATCTGCTCAGAAACTGACTCTGCCTACCAGGTTAGTGAATATAGCACTGCGGCCTTTCATTGGTAGAAACAAATGATGTAATCCTTTACTTATTTTCTCAAGTGATAACCACTGAACTCAGTGGGACTTACTTCTGAGCAGATAGATGTATACGGGATTTCTCTGTAAGTGTGCAATAAAAACATGCTACGTCTTTTTGAAGCATCATTTATTTTCCCTTCTGATATTTAGCTGAGAGTTGAAGGCAGTGGAAAACAGTTCTGAGGGTTAAACAAGACAGAGCAGATCTTGAAACACATTAGAATAAGCTTGTGCTTCTGTTCTTAATATTTGGTTTTAGCCCTGAAACGTTGTTGTTGTTGTTGTGTGCCATCAAGTAATTTCCTATCATGAGTATTTGTTGGGAGGCAAGATTTGTTCAGGGGGCTTTACCATTGCCTTCCTCTGAGGCTGAGAGAGTGTGATTTGCCCAAGGTCACCCAGTGGGTTTCATGGCCAAGCTGGGAATTGAACTCTGGCTTCCAGAGTCATAGTCCAGCACTCAAACCACTATGTCACGGTGGCTCTAGCCCTGCAATATATACTGTACTATTTGCATTCTCTTGATTAAAGGACAGTTTTTGAGTCCCTGCTGGCACTTTTCAGTGGACACTGAGGTGGCAGAATATGTGTGTTTTATGCACATTCTCCCCAGCTTCCTCTGTTAGACATTTGTATTTGAATACACAGTTTAGTGCTGTATGAAAGACCACTAAAAGGTGATTTCCAATCAAACCTAAACAGTTAGGTTTGAAAATTAATTCAATAATGTTAAGTGTTAGACATTGGAAATTAATTCATAATCATAATCATCAACTAGATATTGAGCTGAAGCATTTTTATTCTTGGGGAACTGTAGCTGCATCTAATGGTATTTGAACTGGGAGACAGTTTGGGAGCAACCAACATCTTATTGTGAACCTTCCCCTTAAAGTAGCCCATTTGTTTCCATAACTCCTTGAGTCTTGTACAACTGTGATAGCTATTTCCGGAGCACCATTATCTCTGCCCCTTTGTTATCAACACTCCCCTTCCAAAGATGGCCATCAGCTTACCTTAATAGGGAGGTGTCATTAATGTTAGCAAATGTCATCTCCTTTCTAATGCAGCAGGACAGGCCCTCACCTTCATGGCTCTTCCAAAGGGGTGATTCATCTTTGGTGTTGCCCTCTTTGGTGGCACCCCACAATAGTCGACTGCCCTGCAAAATTGTTACTTGTATCTCCCAGCCAAACCAGCTGACCCAATACAGCTGGAGGACCTACTGGGGACTGTTGGCTGGGCTTGAGCCCTGCAAAGAGACATTCACTCATATGAAGCTGATCCACAGTGAAGGTGTGCAACAAGCTGGCAAACTCCCTCTCCTTCATTCATGCTTGTTCCTCCCAATTCGCTCTCTCTCTGCATATACTTTGAATGATACCAGTACACAATGTGTTCCAAATGATACATTTAGAAGGGTGTTATCATTTGGAGATATCTTAAATTAATCTTGTGATCTTTGGGAAACCTTTAATAGTGGTAGCTTCCGTATTTCTGTAGTTGTTAACTACTGGATCCCTCTCAGGCAAAGATTCTCTTGGTGTTCAGGACAAGGAAGTTCTTGTCTTCTTGGAAGGCCTTTTATCCCAGTCTGTTGGTTAAAGTGAATGCTACAATAATAGAACTTTTTGTGTGTGTACTACAGCATTTTTATAGCTATATATTGATACATTCATTTATTGAAAAGCTAAAGGCAGATTGGATACATGAAGCAGTTGAAATAGCCATTAACATGCTTGATTTTGTACATATTGAACATTTTAAGTTTTAGATCCATCCCATTGTGAGATTTCTAAGAGACCTTTAGAAATTAACATATCTGTTATTATTTTTCTTTCACTGGATATGCATTTATTATACATAATAAACATGTTAATATAATGACAACACATATTTAAAGTAAATGCTGTGAGACTGTACTCTTTTAAGACCACCCTTCCCATTTTATGGATTTCAGTAAAGGCATTTGCCAAAAAACTTTCACTTCTATGCGTGTTTATTATATTGTAAAATTTATAACCATGTAAATGTAAAAAACATGCTTATGGTTTTTGTATATCCAACATCACTGTGCAGTATAGAATGAGTCCGAAACTAATAGCTTGTGATTGTTCTGTTTCATTCAGCTAAGTATTAATACTCCATTTTTTTTGTTGGGTAGCCCTTGGATACTTTTGCTATACATTCAATTAGGAGTTTTTTGTCATCATTACAGAACTATTAAATGTTTAATGTTTAGTTCAGGCATTGCATTTTAAAGATTTAGATGAGTAAATCAAGAGGAACGAGTCATCAGACATATTTAAAAATTTGGAGACTCTGTCAGCAGAAAATATCTGTAGGTAGGCACACAAGTACATTTGAATGAATTAAAATAAGTCAGTATAAGGTTAGATCAGGAGGTGAATGGGCTTCAGATGAAGTGGGAAACATTTAGACAACACATTAAGCAGCTGTAGCTGTTACAAGACTATAGGCCTAAGCAGACTGCCAGAAATAGTGCACATTAAATTGAGGCACTGCCCTGGCTCAGTGCTAGGGAATCATGAGAATTGTATTTTTTTCTGAGACATTGAGCCTTCTCTGTCAGAGAGCTCTGGTGCCACAATAAATTACAGTTCCCATGATTCCCTAGCACTGAGCCAGGGCAGTGTCTCAATTTAATGTGCACTATTTCTGGCAGTCTGCTTAGGCCCTATGTGAATTTGCTCAAGCAACCTCTTTTGGTGATTTTTAATGTTAAACGTGGACACTTATAAACCAAATGACCACTCCACTCTTTAAGAAGTGACATGATAGCCATCTGAAATATCTGAGCTCCTGTAGAAGATGGAGTGAGCTTGTTTTCTGCTGCTTTAGATACAAGAACACAAATCAAACTTCTCAAATTATAAAAAAGATTTAATCTAATCAGCTCTGGTGGCGCAGTGGTTAAATGCCTGTACTGCAGCCACTCATTCATAGACCACAAGGTTGCGAGTTCAATACCAGCCAGGGCTGAGGCTCGACTCAGGCCTGCATCCTTCCGAGGTTGCTAAAATGAGTACTCAGATTGTTGGGGGGCACTCAGCTCACAGTTGTAAACCTCTTAGACATCCCATGCGTGATATGAAGCGGTATATAAATGAAGCTGCTTTGCTTTGCTTTGCTAACTGTTAGGAAGAACTTATTTAGTGTAAAATCTGTTCACCACTGGAGGTTGACATTCTTTCTTTGGAGGTCTTTCAATAGAGGTTGGATGGCCTTCCCTTAGGAATGCTTTAGCTGTGTATTTATGGATGGTCTGGCTGGACTACTTTGCCCTTAAAAGTCCCTTACAAATCTATGATTCTGTCACATTACAGCTTGGCTCATTTGCATAATGTCCTCTTTGAGAAGAGAATTGAACAGAATGGAGGAAGGTGAGCAGTTCCCATGTCACTTCACTGTGTGCATCACTCAACTACTCAAACAAGTTTGTTTCTGAGCACCCATTATTTTTTGATGAGTATAATCATCTTCAAATCCAACATGGGCAACTGTAGTGCATAATTAAAGGTAAAAGTAAAGGTTTCCCCTTGACATGAATGTATAGTCATAACTGATTGTAAGGGGTGGTGCTCATCTCCATTACTAAGCCAAAGAGCCAGTGTTGTTCGAAGACTACTCTGGTGGTCATGTGGCCAGCATGACTGCACCGAACCCTGTTACCTTCCCACTGAGAAGTGGTACCTATTTATCTACTTCCATTTACATGCTTTTGAACTGCTAGATTAGCAGAAACTGTGACTAGTGACAGGAGCTCACCCCATCATGCAGCACTTGGGCCTTGAACTGCCAATCTTCCAACCTTACGATCATCAGAATTGGTGTCTTAACCATAAAGCCATTGTATTCATACATTATTAGCTCAGCATAATTGTTTTGAAGAATGCCAGGATGAGTGTTCCATAGTAGTTAAGAAGAGTATTTGATTTGTATTGTGCTGAGGAGTACGATCTGGACTGAAGAGGTATAGATTCAAATCCATACTCAGCTGCAAGGCTAATTGGATGTCTTCTTCATGGTCTCTGTGACTTACACAAATGGGTTATCTGTGCTTGTACAGCGCATCATTTGGAAACTTCTGGAATAGTTAAGTAAGCATTGTGGTGGTAGCCCTGCCCATTCCCTGTCCACCTACCAGACCTACCTTCTACCTAACTCCTCAGTTCCTTTTTGTGCACCACTGAAGGAGTGTTGATTCTGAGCTTCTTTTCTTCTGCTTTATTTTGTTTTTTTCTGACTTGGACTGTTTAACAGATTTTTTTGATAATCTTTGTGTTTTGGTTTGTCAGTATTGGGCTGACTTAATGGATTTAATCAGACTTGTTTTACCTTCATTTGATCTTCCATGTCACTAGCGTTTCCTCTTGCCATTGCCTTGGCTGGTTAATGATGTCTTCCACATTTTTCAAACAATGCACCTCCTGCGGAGGAAAAATATCTGAATCTGACAGCTACTCTGAGTGTCTCCTTTGCTTTGAGAAAGGCCATAATGTTGAATCCTATTCCTACTGCAAGGCCTTTACTCCTCAGGCCTGTCAAAACCAGGATCTTCAGTTAACAGCTCTCCTGTGGGAGAAAACACTCAAGGCTACCAAGGTGGCAGCAAAAAACAAGGCTCTTCATATGGCCATAATTACAAAACTCAACCTCATAAGTCATCAGTAAACCAGGCACCATCTCCTGCCTCACTCCTACTATTACCTTAGCTTTTATAAGTTGTCAAGAAATCCTACAGAACTCCATCTATGATTTCACGTACATCTAAAAAGATTGAGACAATCTAAAAAGATTGAGACAAATGGGTCAAAACTGGGTGTGAATGGCTTGCACAACATCCTAGGCCAAACCCAATAAGTGTTGACACAGCTCAGTTGACGACATCACAAAAACTGCATTCCAATCCAGCTGACAAGGAAGGAAAGAAGCTGGATGCCCTGGGAAGAAAGTTTTATTCCACCTCTGCTCTCATCTTTTGCATAGTGAACTGCAGTGCCTGCATGGGGGAATATCAGCAGTTCTCATTAAAAAAGCTCCTTCCTTTCCTTGATCATCTTCCTGGTGATCTTCAGTGTTTCAGGCTGAAGCCCACTATCTGGCAGCACAATAAATAACTACTGCTTGCCATGTTATGGATTGTTGTTGTGGCATGGCACTGGCAAGAGCAGTGGCACTTAGAGACATACCTGATTGAGGTCTTCCAGACTGGCACAACCCTAAGGTGAGGTCTGCCACAAAGAAGTTTGGTTTTGGTTTCTGAGGGTCTCATTCAAGATTCCACAGGTTCCAATCCAAGACAAGAAGGACCTATAATTCTACCAGATGTAGCCAACAAGAAAAGATCACTTCTCAGACAACTTATAAGAATCCTGCTACACATTATAAACTTATCCCATATAAAAACCCATCCCATTAAGATACTAGTAGGTTGCATCTTTGACTCTCTCCAGGGTAAATGA